ATCCCTTCTCCTCCATTCTCCTTTGGGGATTATGGGCACGCACACATATGCGCCTGGTGTGATTTTCAAACTGCCATGTCCAGGATTGAACCACAGTCAGCCATGAGTCCAGCACCTTAACTATTACACCACCTGCCAGCCCCAATAGCTTCTTTTTAAGGAGCACAGTTTGGAACTAGATAGATCATTACCACTCATGTTCCATTGGCCAGAGCTTAGACACATGGGCAAGTGAAGCCAGGCAATGTGATCTTTTTCTGGCTGGCCATGTGCTTGGTCAAAACTCAAAAGGTTCTGCAGGTAAAATATAAGAGGAGAGAATGGGTACTGGGAGATGATTGGCAGGCTTTGCCCTAGTTGACTAGTTCTGAAAGTCATCTGAGTCTTGTTTATAGTAAAATGCACAGGTACAATAAATTCACGATACATTCGGCAGGAAAATCTGTGATGAGCTAATTGGTGGCTCAAAGTGGAGTCGAAGTGGTAAGATTCGGCAAAGACTTCTAGTGGGACCACTTTGTAGTTTGGTATGCAGAACCCTGGTTTTGTCCTAGTATCCAAAATTGACCAGAGTGCTGGAGATTTACACATACCACACTCACATATTAATGAATAAATCAGAAAATCTGTTTACTAACTCATAATGAGGATTTTCTGTTCTATGTCCGAATACTTGTGCTCATTTTCAGAGTATTCCCCTCTGGATACTAACTTGCTCAATAAGCCAAATTAGTAATCAGCAGGTTTTTTTTGAAGTGTGTAAAATAAATGAGAGCGAAGGAAGGATGATGTTGAAGGGAAGTTCTTCTAAATAGGGACGTGGCCTGATGCGTTTTCCCTGCCCTCCCCGTAAGACACGTCGCTGCTGTGCTCACGTCTTTTCAGACTGCCCTGCCATTGTTTGCATGCCTCATACGCACGATCGCAGAGCTTCATGTGATGGCCCACCTCACAGCCGAGGGCTGCAGTATGTGAGCAGAGCTCAGGGGGCAGATATTTGACGGCTCTCCTTTCCCCCCAAGTGATGCATTTGTTCTTCTTTTCATTGTTCTCGTTTGTACTTGGATCAGCACAAGCCTGTAAGGGGTCTTCGAAAGTTCATAGAACATGTGCATTATGAAAAAACTGCATGGTTTCAAAACAATATTTGTACCAAAAATAAATCTCTAATTCCACTTTCTCAAAACTTTTTTTTTTAAATATTTAATTGTATTTATTCATTCATTTATTTTAACTTGACCAGAGAGAGACAGACACACAGAGAGAAGGAAAGTGAGAAAGCAAGCCACTAGGTCCAGGACTCAAACCATGGTCAGCCATGTGGAAATGTCCAGCACCTTAACCACCATGCTATCTGCTGCCCCCCCACACACACACACAGTTTTGGAAGTCCCCTCCTACACTGGAGCATGAAAATAAGTTGATTTAGTCCCTAAAGTCTTGCTCACACTTTTCTTCTCACCAGCTTCCAGCGATCCAGACTCACTCCGCTGCCTTTACTTGAGACACAATAGCTAGGTCCTTCCATGTTTCCCTCCTGGTGATTCCTCCTGCTTTGGCACTCTCAGGTGAAAGGGATTTTACTGCAGTTTTAGCACTCTTTTCCCCTTTAAATTTTTGGTTGTATTAACTATACTTCAGAGACTTTTTAAATTCACCGTGGAACCGAGATTATATAACAAGTACTTTATCCTCTCAGAACTAGTGCTCATCCTTCCTAGAAATGCTATGAGGCTTAAAATAAATTAATAGAGTTAATAAAATAGTTCTTTTAAAAAAATAAAATAAAAAAGAAGGGACCAGCAGGTGGCATGGTGGTTGAGGGTGCTGGACTCCCACATGGCCAACTGTGGTTCAAGTCCCAGACCTGGTGGATTGCTTTCTCACTTTCCCTCTCTCTTTCTCCCTCACTCACTTACTCTCTGTCCCTCTCTCTCTGGTCAAATTAAAATAAATAAATAAATAAATAAATAAATAAACAAATAAAAAGTTAAATAAAATAATTATTTTTAAAAAATATTAAAGAAAAAAGATATGCTATGAGGCACAACGAGCAGGCGCTTGACAGGCGGAACTTTATCAGTAAGAGTTTCAAACCAAGTTCTACCATCTGTGCTAAAGCGATTAGGAGGTCTCTCCTCGCATTCTTCCAGGATCTCTTAAATACTGAGACCTTGTCCAGGTGTATTGGTGTCACTGAATGGCCCACGTACCCTCGTGTTTCCCCCAAGCACCTGGAAAGTGGCTGTTGACCACCTTTGGATAGGCTCTAGTTGGGAAGTGAAAAAAGTATCTTCTAATGTATTCTCAGCCACGGGAATTTTGAATCCAGGGCTGATAATTACTAGCTCTTCAACATGACATCAAATGCATTTTAGCTCTGGGTCTTGGCAAACGGATACTGATAGCTGAAAGGGAGATACTGCCAGACCTTTTGGACTCCCTCAAGTTTTAAAAAACACTGCTGCACACAGTATCCCATAGAGAATGCAGAAGAGTTCAACTGAAACAGTCATAAACTGTTTTAAAATTTTGTGAGCCATTTCTTATGTCCTTCTAGGAAGAACAGCTTTTTTGGATGAGATTGTAAGAGAGTAGTCTAAACTCATTCACTAGTTCAAGTCTTCTCTTCAGTAAGCAAGCCTCTTAGCTGTAACTTCAAATTCATACCTCCAGAAAATACCAAGTGCTACAGATCTGGGACATATAGATCTGCTGGCCAGGAAATGGAGACGTTAAATTGGAGAGATCTCTGTTGTAATGGCCTTTACATTTTTTTACGTATATGAAACAGCTGAGAACTTGTTAAAATGCAAATTCTCAGAGCACTCTGTAAGTATGAGGTAGAGCCCAGGAATTTTGAGATTTTTTTTTTTTTAAGAAGCAGACCTTCTACCTAAAGAAGATACAGGTAGTTTTCTACACTTTAAGAAATACTGATTAGATGCCTTGAAGTGGTAAATCATATTGCCAACTATAGAGAAAGGAAATGAATAAAAATTAATTTGCAGTTGAGTCTGATGAAGTTGAGCTATATCGCCAAAGAAAACAGACAGTTGGATAGTTTTCTGGAAAATTCTGGACAAAAAAAAAAATACATACATATCCTTGATTTAAGCAGGTGGTCTCAGGATTTCGATACCCGCTGAAGCAACGTTACCTGCTTTCTCTTGCAGTCTTCACTGTACTAAGGACCTTGCTTTTCTTTGTCATAGGCTTGTTTGCTATTTCCCTTCCAAGACAAATTATCATGCAAAATATTATTCAGCACATCAATGAGATAATACAGAGCACCATAACTTTATCTAAAACGGAAAAGCTTTTGACAAATGTGAATTGGAACTTTGTAGAAGAAAAATCGAAGATCGAATACATCAATCCAGTGAGATGATTCCTGGCAAACAATAATCTTCCTCTCCTTCCCTCAGTCTGTCCCTCTTGGTTCAATTTATTGTAAAGAGCCTGATTCTGCTAACTGAATGTCAGAAAACGGATCATTTTACTCCCTTTGCTATTTTGGTGGTGAAATGACTTATTTGAATTCTGTCTCTAAAGAGAGGATCTTGGTGATCTGCACTTATTTGCCAGATATCAGAAATGAATATTCATCCAAACTGGCTGGCGGGTGTTAATCAGTGACCTCACAAGGTGATGTTTCTACGGGGTTGTGGTACTTCTGAGAGATCGTTGCCTCTCTAAGTGTTGTCAAAAGCAGAAAACAGGCTGCTTCAAAGAGCGTTCGAGCAGACAGGCTTGGCTTCTAAGTCCCACCAAATGAGTATTTACTGCTGCTATGTAACAGAAAGCACCACGTCTCTCACTGAAAAATATTATCCAGGTTATACATAGTCCTCCATTTTTAGCAATTCTGATTTTAGTTATTGGGGCATTTGTCGGCTCCTAATCATTTTTACTTATTTTAAACTTTCTCTCTTTATGTCTTAAAGCTTAGTCTGTTACTCATCCGTTTCTCCAGGTTTCTGACGATGAAGAAGAGGAAGAGGAGTCCCCAACAGATGCAGTTTTGATAGAAGAAGCCAGATTGCCTGTAGCTATGATGCAAATTGTGGGTACTGTTCACATAATCTGCTTTAAATTTTTTTTTCCTAGTAATGCCTTTAATCCTTACATATGTCTTTGTAGTAACTAGAAACATTTTTTCACCTCTGATCGCATATTGATTGTTAAAATTAACGTTTGCTTTATCAAACTTAAAAAGTGAAAGTTAAAACAAACAACTCTTTCTCTCTTAGGGTTTAAGTCATAAACTTTATTATATTATATTTTGTTTCTAAATTTAGGAAATCTTAGCAGTCATTTTTGAGGGTCTTTAAAATGATGTTTGATCCCATTTGCCAACTTAGATGATTCAATTTCCAATATTTGAAAGCACTATATAAATTAAACAGGTTTGGGCTCCTTTCATATAAAATTCCCTCAGGTGTTTACTTAATTCTTAGAAATACAATAAGTTGGGATTAGCAGATGGCATAATGGTTATGTTGCTGGACTTCCACAAAGTTGACTGCGATTCAAGTCCCGGAACCAGCAGCTTTAAACTCACACAGAGTGCCTGTGCATCTGTGCCAAAAATCCCGAGAAGAGAGTGGAGGAGAAAAGATTGCGGCATGGCTATCCCTCCTGTGGGTGATTTCTGTCTCTCTATCTCTCCAGCGAGTGCATGCACCCTATAGCAAAAATATCTCCCTAAAAAATAAATGCAATAACTCTGGCATTTGATAGAAAGTGGTCAGATATGGAGGATCTATTGCTGAGTGAAGTAAGCCAGGCTATGAAAGAAAGATATTGTATGTATCCACTCAATATATACTGACTATCCGCACTCTATGGTAGGGAGCAAAAAATTGGAGGACATAAAAGCAGTGAAGGTACTTAATGAGAATAGGACAGTGTGGAATGGGGGAGGTGAAGAGAAGAGGATAGAGAAAGATAGCAAGTGAACAATAGAGAGGCAGGACGTTAGTGAGAAGCAGATATGGCTTATTACCTATTGATGAGGACATGTATAGTATTCTCAACTGGATTGGTCTGAGAAGTATTTCATGATGGGCAAAGTCTTTTTACAAGCAAAATGAGAAATAGCGATTGACTTTTTAAAAAAATAATTAGAATAATAATAATAATGATTGGGGAAAACAGAAAAGATATTGAATGTTGAAGCAGGGAGATTAATGTCTCTGTACTGACTGACATGCATGGCATTCCCTTTTGAGAAAGCAATGTAATACACTGTAAAGTTATATGTAATCCAATGTAATATAAAGATTATGATGATAATAAAAAAATTTAAAAAATAAATGCAATAAGTTAAAATAAATCTGTTGAGTCAAAATTCTCTTACAGTGTTGTAATCCTAGTATTTAAATGTTCCAATATAAACATAGGAATATTATTAGGTAAAATAAAATATAAATCAATTTACCAAATTACATTTCAAATTGGGATTATATTAGGATAGATTTTTTTCAATATAATGATTATATTGAATACTCATTATTCCCAGAGTTCTTAAAGTTCCCTTAAAAACAGATTATTATGATGAATTCCTAACATTTGCAAAAGTAGATAGGATAGCATGATGAACCTGCATATACCCATCCACACCGACCTGTCTCACCACAGTGTACCCTCATTCCCTCCCTACCTTCTGTGTCTTCTAAAACATGGCCATCCTAGGGCCATCCCATAGTGTGGAGTTAAGATAACAATCTCACATGGCCGACTAAGAGGTTCAAGTCCTAGACTCCATGGCTTTAAAAACCTGCCAGGCACGTATGCATGTGTGCCCAAAATCCCAAGAAGAGAATAGAGGAGAAAGGATTGTGACATGGCCATCTTCCCTGTGGAGGTGCTTTCTTACTTCCTATCTTCCCACCCTGTCTCTCTCCAGCAAGTGCACGTAGCCTATAGTAAATAAAATAAAGAAATAAACAAACCAACAAAAAAAAAACCCTATTTCTATTCCTTTTGGTCTCACCTGATACAATTTTCTTAAGAACTTTATGTGTTGGGCCAGCAGGTGGCGTGATGGTTAAGGAGCTGGATTCCCACATGGCTAATTGTGGTTTGAGTCCCAGACCTGGCAGCTAGCTTTCTTATTTGGTCCGTCTGCCTCTCTCTGGTGTAGCAAATTTAAAAATAATAATAATGGTAAATAAAATAAAACAAATAAGGTATTAGGTACTTAGACATTTCCTTAGGAGAACTATAAGTTTATTAGATACATTTCCTACTTTCCAAGTTGCCTCAGAATGTAAAAGTAAATGTGACTGTCACATCATCAATTGTGCTGCCTCTTTTTTTTTTTTTTAAGAGAAATTTTTGCTATAGGGCACATGTGCTCACTGGAGAGACAGAGAGAAATAGAGATTTTGGGCTTGCGTGAGCACATATCCAGCATGAGTTTAAAGCCGCCAGGTCCAAGATTTGAACCATGGTCAACTATGTGGGAGTGTAGCAACAGTACCATTATGCCATCTGCTGCTCCCTTGTATTGGCTTTTGAAAGCACAGCTTTCTCCCTCCAGTCTCCTAATGCAGTTTCTTCACTGCTCTTCCAGCTTCTATGAACAGTTTTCTCAATGCACGTCTAGCCTCTGCACACCATGCTGCGTTTTAGCTTAAGTGATGGAGACGTCCTACAGCTGATATTAATTTAGGTTTTGGTTCACGTCTATTGTGTAATGAATCAACCGAGAACTTAGTGGTTTAAATGACAGTTTAAATTTTCTCATCGTTTTGTGGGTTGGTATTCTGTGACACATAAAGGGGTAATTTTTCTCCTCTTTCGGAGGAAAGGTTGACACAAGAATACAGTCTATCTTTCTCATTCAATAGCTCTTTGTGAGCTGAAATAATCACTTTTGAATGATTGCTTTGCACACGATTCAGCTGTGGAAAGATGAGGCAATTGATGTTATTTATTCTACTGAAGTAAATGTTTTGAGTTGTGTAGATTTTTAACTTCTTGAAGTTAGGAACCTTTGCATTTCTCATGACATCTAGTAATTTGTAAAAAAGAAAAGGATATTTTGTAGAAATGAATATTCTGTAAATATTTGAATTGAATAAAATTTATTTCCTATTAAAGAATGCTTGGTAATAATATATTTTCTTATATTGAGTTCAGTAATAATTGCAAAGGCTATGTAAAGTTTAAGAAGGTTTATCAGGGCCAGCAGGTGGTGTGGTGGTTAAGGCACTGAATTTCCACACGACCTATCATGGTTTGAATCCCAGACCTGGCAGCTTAAAAATTATACCAGGCATGTGTATGTGCATGCCCAAGATCCTGAGAGGAGAATGGAGAAGGGATTGCAATGTGGTCAGCCTCCATAGAGGTGATTTCTCACTTCCTCTTTGCCTCTATCTGTGGAGCACACATGCCCTATAGCAAAAACAAACACACAAAAAAGTTTATTACATTTATGTTTAGTATTTTGTAATTTTTCTTTAAAATTGCATTTTTAGAGTAGCTTTGAAAAACAGTGTCATGACGAAGTCCTTGAGATAGAGGCAGCCCGGATATTAATTGGTGCAGCCAAACGCTATTGCCCCATCCAAGGAAGGTAAGGGTATCATGGCTTTCACTGCTATCTCCAAAACAGAATGGGTATATGATAAAGGATGAACGAACTGAGAATTAAATGTGCAAGTTGATCAATCTATTATCTCATCTCTCTATATCATCTACCTGTCTATCAATCCATCCATCCATTTATCCATCTACTTCTTACTTGTTCATAAGTTCTCCCCTGAAGTTTTAAAACCTTGATGACCTTAGGGGATTCTGGAGGATTTGACTGCAGTGTAACTAGGTAAGAGACTATGGGATCTCCAAAAGAGAACTTATATAGCTTCAATTACTAGTATAATTATTTTGCCTTTATAACATACTCATAAAGCTATTGGGTAGGTACAGAAACCTGGAGGCTGTCATTAGGCTGCCCCCCAGAGTAGAGCAGAGTGGAGGAACTGACTGCCCACCGGTGCTGAGAGAGACAATTAAATGTGGTGGGAAAAGCTCATCATCTTAGTTTATCTGGTCACAGTCCTGTCAAACATTAGCTAATGGATGATCCAAGACAAAGCTATAGGCAACAACAATGGCAGCTCCAGGCGGGGTGATGGTTAGCATCACCAGATGTAGCACCAGATACACCCAGATGGAGCAGCCTGCATCTGTTTGGGAGCTCTTCACTGGTCCCTGGGCTAACAACCTTTGGAAAGAGTAAGGCCTCAGAGCCTTGAGAGGCTGGGCTAGGCAAGATAAGGCAAAGGGAAGCTTGATTTTAAACCCAAGAAGGAGTCTCGTGCTACAGGTGTTCCTGTCGCATGACTGGGGGGGGGGGGGTTGGGGGGTGAGGGGGGGGGGGGGGGTTTAGATGGATGGTTATGGAGGCTTGGGACTGAGCAAATTTATAGGTCTGTATTAAAACATTTACTTAATGTAGCTTCCCCTTTTATGGTGTCCAAAGTATAGCACTTGTTTTATTATAGCACATAATGTGTTTTTTTTTTCCTGTTAGATTCTTGAGTATTTATGATGTTTCGACTTATGTAAGAACTAGAAATTGGCTTATGAAGTTTAAAAATGTGTTAACTTTCTTGGAATATCGTAAAGAAAAGCTACCTTTTATTCTACCTGGGTAAGTCTTGTGACCCTTTCATAGCAATAGGCTTGAAAATGTGACTATTTTACATCATCAGGAGATACTGCATTGCTTTTTGTTACTTAAAAACCCCCACAATATTATGATCGACTTTTATTGACTGAGTGGTAAATGAACAGAGTGTTTGATTCTCTTCCTCCATTCTGCTCTAGCAACATCAAAGACACCTCTGTTATAAATACGAACAGGAAAGGGATGGTCCTGTTTGGATTCTTCAAGTTTTAAGTGCTCTTAGAGTCATATCACGTGCTGGGCTGCTTACGTAGTCTACATGTGACACAGAGCAAGGGTGAGAAGTAGCTGTAATGACTGGCCATTTCAGCTGTGCCGTAGCGTGGCTCTGTTGGTGTCTACAGTCAGGAAAAACACAGCGTGTCTTAATAATACCTGTCGCCATGTTTTTAAAACATCACACTTTTACTTCACCACGATAGACTCTTGTTGAAAGAAACAAAAAAGTACAAACTTACATACTTTTTAAAAAAAGAATTATTTCCTTTATCTTATTTGTCATTATTATTCTTTTTAACTTCACCACAGTGACACACACACACACACACACACACACACACACACACAGAGGGAGAGAGAGAGAGAGAAAGCAAGCCGCCAGCTTTGGGACTCAAACCGTGGTCAGCCGTGTAGGAATTTTAACACCTTTAACCATCATGCCACCTGCCAGCCCCATGAACTTACATACTTTTTAGAAAAGAAAAAATTTTTCTGCCAACGGAAGATATCAAAACAAGGACATATCTGTAGCATCAATGCTGCTAAATTTTAAGTAGGTGTTAACATAATCTATTATTATAAATCTTGATAATTTTTTACTTTCTTCCACTTAATATATTTGAAGAGAAATAGAAAAAAGTAAAACCATAGAGTTTTAACATTCCCAGAGAACCTCTTCCCATTAAGCTCTAATTTAGATGGACTGAAAAGCTTTAAAAGGGCGTAATGGTTACGTCGCTGGATTCCCACAGAGTGGACTGCGGTTTGAGTCCCAGACACTCATTGGCTTAAACTAACGCCAGGTGCGTGTGCCTAAGATCCCAAGAGGAGAATGGAGGAGGAGGGACTGTGGCGTGGCCAACCCCCTAGAGGGTGATTTCTCACTTTCTGTCTCTCTGTCTCACCGGTGAGCGTATGCGCCCTATAGTAAAAAAAAAAAAAAAAAACTCAAAAAAAACAGAAAAAAAGAAAAGCTTTAAGAAATACATGCCATTATAATTATTGAATAGAATAGTTTTCCTATTCATAATTATAAACAATGCTGATATATAATCCATTTTTTAAAAATTTATTTATTTCTTGCCTTTTTTTAATAAAAAACTTATTTTCTTTTAGGGAAAGAGTGCAAATGCCTGCAAAAGAGAGAGAGAGAGAGAGACCTATCTCAGGTCTCCTCACACTGTGGTCCCTTTCCTCATCGCTCCAGCTAGTCAGGATCTTTAATGCATGTGCCTGGCATGTTTCAGGTCAACTGAGGATCTGTACCTGAGGTTGGCCATGGGACTTCCAGCTCCACAGGTCCTTACCATATGCACCAAAGAGGCTAGCTTTTTGTCTCGCTTTCAATTTATGAATCTTTGCATTGTTTCCTATGTTTTATAGCCTTCATTTGAAGTGCTATCCATCCCTAACCAAGATTAACAAGAGTCTTATTTTTAAAATTTTTTATTATAATTTATTCGTATAGAAGATATGCCTTTGAGTTTTGCAGATAAATATTTATTTATCTACTGCTTAGATGTGTGTATTTATTTTTTATTTATATTATTTATCATCTTCAAATTGATTTTAGTGACTTGTTTAAACACACATTGAACTGTACTCTCCGTTATTATATTTCTAAGTGATCTGACATTTTATTTCATCTCTTTTTTTTTCAGAAGTAGTAAATTTCTGATTTTGGTATATCACATCGTATTTTCAGAAGAATTTGAATATACAGGACATATTATGACATTGCTATATATTTATCCAATGATAATGCATCTATGGCCAATGGCGAGAGAGTTAAATGTGTCAGCACTGATATCAATAAACTATTATTTTGTATTTTTTTATGTAATACGATCAGCATTGAAGGTACTGTTTAAAATAGAAATAATTCTACAAAAAGGACAATTGAGAGATTTTGATTTATTGTTGTCACATTATTGAACTAACCTGATAGCCAGCAGCCAGTTACTGTAATAGTTGATAGGATTCTGTGATTTTAGAACCATCTTTGAATTTCTTGAGTTTAATGACATCGGTAATAATCACACTCTTGGACATCAGGCCTATGTCATAAAAATAGAGAATCTCAAGGATCAGGTAGAAGATAAATGAAAATCTAGACATGGCTGTTTCCCTCAGATACTTTCTGTAATGATACAAGAAATAAATGAAAAGAAACAAACTGGCTTGCTAGGTCTCTGTCATATTATGGGAGCTGCTTCTCAGAATAAACGCTTCAAGGATTATATATTCACATTACTGTGTTCATGCTTTATTGGTAATGGTATTGCAATGAACCTATGTGTTGTTATTTTTTTTTATTGTCAGAAAGCACGCATGCTTATGTGAGAGAGAGAGAGAAAGAGACAGAGAGAGAAAAAAAAACCCTATTGCATGTAGTCACACCACTATTCTGTTCCTCCATTTCTCTGTCCTGTCAGGATTGGGGGCATACACCCACATGCATATGGTGTGTTTTCCAAGTCACCAGTCCTGAGATTTGAACTGTAGTCCATCATGCAGGGCCTGGTTCCCTAGGCACAGGACTACAGGGTCAGCTGTGTTTATTGTTTTTGTTTGTTTTGTTTTCTTTTGTTTTCAGGTTTTTGCCATAAGGTGTGTGGGCTTACTAGAGACAGAGAGAGAGAAAGTTAGAAATTACCCCCCTGGAGGTATGGTCACACCACAGTCCTTTCTCCTCCTTTCTCCTCTCAGATTTTGGGCACGCACACCCATGGCCCTGGCTTGAATTTCAAGCCACTGAGTCCAGGACTTGAACCACAGTCTGCCATGTGAGAGTGTAGCACTTTAGCCACTGTGCCACCTGCTGGCTCCTGTTTATTGTTACTTTTAATTTCGTCTCTGGCATTCTAGCTTCATTATAGTTTATATATTTTCAATCAGTTGTAATTTCTGATGTTGGAAGTTAAAAAGAATTTTGGGGGGAATTCAAAAGCAATGACTTCAAGCTCAGCGTTCTTTTGGAAAGTAATGGATTTGTGGTGGAGGACTTCACTGATCGTTTTTCTCCTCCACATGACCGTATAGGTGCTACCAAATGACATGCATTCTGCTTGCTTATTAAACAGATCATAATTTTGAAAAGGAAATATTTTCACCAACGCTGGAATACTTTGGAATTTATCATCATGATAGTTGGAATCGCTGATACCATTTGTCTATATTTTGTCAGACTGAGACCAGAAAACTTGGTTCTTATTCAATGTACAGTAATAATGGGATATTTAAGAATAATTAGGTTTCTTCCCATCTTAAAGGTAAGATTTCACATTTTGAGATGTTTGTTTTTTTTGTTTGTTTTTTTGTTTGTTTGTTTGTTTTTTGGCCCTACATTGTTTGTGAAATAAGTTAAGAAACCTCACTGTTTTGAAAGAAATGCAGGGAAGAGCTACTGCTTCTTCTGGAATATTCTTGCAGTAAGTATCACAAGGTTTACTCCCTCCTCTCTTTCAAGCCATTGCTCCAATCCTGATTTGTCACAATGACCTTTCCTGATTGTCCTATGTGAGACAGCAACCTGCCCTCAGTACCTCAGCTTTCCACCTGTCCTCTGGACCTTCCACTGGTTACCTCGCACTTCTCTCCTGTAGCACTTCCCATCATTCACCGGACGTCTTATGTGCTCTGTGTGAGGTAGGAATCTGCTGTGGTCATTGATGTAACCAACAGCTCTAGAACAGTGCCTGGCACACAGTAAGTACTTAAATATTTTTCAAGTGAGTGAATTAAAATCTCGGTGTCACAAGAAGTAGAGTGAACCCAGAAAGAAGTTCTCCCAGTTTCAGTAAAATCTGTTCGTATCACCAGAACAGGGAAGAAACAAAAATGTTTTCTCTGAAGCTCCAACTCCCATGGCACACAGCCTAGGGAGTTTACTTTTACTGTGGCCTCAATCTCCTTACCGGCGACTGTCCTTTATTCCCATGGGCCTGGTTTTAATTCTGAAGGTAGATTTTGACATTTTCAATCTCAGCTCCTAATGGTCACACACGCATATGTGCCTGGTGTGAGTTTCAAGCCACCAGGTCGGGGACCCCAACCACTGTCAGCCATGTGTGAGTCCAGCGCCTTAGTCACTATGCCTCCTTTTCCTCTTTCCAATGGAATTGCATTATATTAGCTCTTAGCTTGAGAGCTTTATATGGTTTTACTTGCAACTTTGTTTAATTCTTATTACACCAAACAAATCTTTTAATATTCATTGAAATTATAGAGGGTTAACATTTGGAAATAAACTGCTATAAACTCCAATAACTAAATGCATACATTAGAATCCGGTACTCAGTCCCCATTTTCTGAGAATTTTTAAAAATTTTATTTCGAATATTTATTTAGTTATTTATCTATATATTTGCTGTATTTATCAAGCCACCAGGTCTGAGACTTGAACTGCTGTCAGCCATGGGGGAATCCAGCACCTTAACCACCAGGGCACCTGCTGGCCCAGAGGAGTTTAATAGCTGTCTTAAAGGCAAAATTATTTGACTTCCCAGCTTGTGCATATACACTTTTTTGGTTCTTTCCTTTATGTTTTATGTTAATGTTGCCAAACTTTAGTGATTTTAAAGATGGCTATACTGAGTTGTATATGCAAAACTTGCTTCTAGGGATCATTTCGGTAGCATGTGATTTTTGTCTGATGAGCTGAGTTTAGACGGAAGTGCTCCTATAAGATGTAACTCCTCTATGAAAGAAACTATTCTAGAAATCAGGATGGAGTAGCGTGAGGCTGAACTTTAACATGGGAGACATTTGTTTGGGTAGTCAGTTTTTCTTTTTTAAGTTCTTGCCAGTGGGTGCATGTACTCCCCAGAAAGAGAAAGACAAAGAGAGAGAGGGGGAAACAGAAATAACCTCCCATGAGGAATGGTCACACCTCAATCCCTTCTCCTCCATTTCTCCTGCCTTTCAGGATTCGGGATACACTCACACATGCACCCAGCACTTTTCTCAAGACACTGGGTCAGGACTTGAACTACACAGTTCAAGGCCACCTTCACCACCATGCCACAGGCTGGCCCACGCAGTTAGATTTTATAAATAGACCTTATAGATGAATGTAAAATAGTTATTTTAGAAGTATTTTTTTTTGTGTGTGAAAAGTAGTTAAAATAGGGAACCAGCAGTTAGCGTAATGGCTATGTCTCTGGACTCCCATGTAGTCGACCGCAGTTCGCATCCCGGACCCGGTGGCTTAAAACTCATGCTGGGCGCGTGTGTGTGTGCCCAAGATCTCGAGAGGAGAATGGAGGAGAAGGGATTGCGGCATGGCCATCCCCCCTGGGGGGTGATTTCTCGCTTTCTGTCTCTATGTCTCTCTCTGTCTGTCTGGCCAGCGCACGTGCCCTATAGTGAAAATCTAACCAAAAAAAAAAAAAAGTAGTTAAAATAAAATATTTAAAGCTGTATTATTGTGAGAGTCAAATGTGTTTAGAGTATAGTCAGCACTTAGCTCTTCTGTCTAGCATGCCCTGGCAAATCTCAAGGAGGTGTATACACAGATTTTTGCTAAAAGACACGTGCTCACTGGAGAGACAGAGAGATACAGAGAGACAGAAAATAAGAAATCATCCCCAAGAGAGGATGATCACACCACAATCTTTTCTCCTTCTCTTTCCTCTCAGGATTTTGGACATGCATGCACACGTCCTTAGCATGAGTTTTAGGCACTGGGTCCGGGACTTGAACTACAGTTGACCACGTGGGAGTCCAGTGATGTAACCATTATTCCATCTGCTGGTCTCCAGATTTTTTCTTTTTATTTTCAGTGAGTTTTGTTGTTGTTGTTGTTGTTGTTGTTGTTTTTGCTATAGGGCACATTCGTTTGGCCGAGAGACAGAAGGCAGGAAATCAACCCCCCCCCACGCCCCAGGGAGGGGTGGTCATGCCACAGTCCCTTCTCCTCCATTCTTCTGCCAGGATTTTGGGCACACATGCACACGCACCAGGTGTGAGTTTTAAGCCATCGGGTCTGGGACTCTAACTGCTGTTGGCTAGGTGGGAGTCCAGTGACATAACCATTATGCCATCTGCTGTTTCCTCCAGATTTTTCCTTTTTAATAATAGAGTGTGCGAGAGTGAGGGAGACAGAGAGAGAAAGGAGCACCTCCAGAAGGTCTGGTCACACGGTGATCCCCTTCCCCCAGTTCTCTAGCCTGTCAGATCTTGAGCACTCACGGACGTACCTGGAGTGTTTCAGGCTGGCTAAATTAGGGCTTATTAGTTTCTGTTTCTGTTTTTGTTTTTGTTTGTTTGTTTGTTTTGCCATAAGGTGTATGTGATCACCAGAGAGAGTGAGAAACCATCCCTGGAAAGATGGCCATGCTGAAGTCCCTTCTCCTCTTGGGACCTAAGATATGTACACATGCAGTTCTTTCCTGATAAGCTGAATTTAGACCGAAGTGCTCCTATAAGGTGTAACTCCTCCATAAAAGAAACTGTTCTAGAAATCAGGATGAGTAGTGTGAGGCTACTCAAACACCTGCCTGGTGTGATTTTCGAGTCACTGGGTCTGGAACTTGAACCATGGTCAGCCATGTGGGATTCCAATGCGCTACCACGGTGCCATGAAGCTGGCCCTCAATGAAGCATATTTAAGAAATTATTGCTATCACACTTGGCTTTTTTATTGAGCACTTATTATGTTCCAAGAACTGCATGAAGCTCTTTACGCAGACGACCTGGTTATATTATAAGAGCTCTGTGAAGTAGGCGTCGTGACGGAATGGAGTTAGTGCCCTAATAGCAGCCTCAGCACAGCGTGGTGTGCAGCAGCCCAGCCTGCAGAGGAAAGCTCGGCAGAACAGGGAGTCTGTGCTCCAGGAGGTACCGGCACAGCGTGGAGTGGAGCTTTGAGAAGTCTTCTGTAAACGTCTCTCCCTTCACCCACAGGTTCACAAAATAGCAGCTAGAAAGCCCTCTCCTTTCTCCGCTCCTGTCATCCCTTCCCTGAGGTGTTGTTTTCTGGTTCCCCATCGACCCCTGTGTTCTGACGCTGCTTTTCCAGGGGAAGCCCCTGTCTGTGCCCGCTGCATCGCTCCGAGGAGCAGCTCCATGGGAATCCTGCTCTTAGATATTGCCACCCTTGTTTTACATGGGAGGACACCGAATCCTCAGGTCACTAAGGAACATGCTCAAGGGTACAGAGCCAGTGAATAGGAGAGCTGCTATTCAAACTCAGGGAGGGTTACCTGTAAAATCCTAGTTTCTTTTATTCTTTTCTTTTCCAAGAGGTTTTTTTTTTTTTTCTTTTTTTTCCCCAAAGGTTATGTGTGCTTGTGAGATAGAGAGAGAGAAGTGAGAAATCACTCTCTACCCTGGGGGAATAGCCACACTGTAATCCCTTCTCCATTCTCCTCTCAGGATTTTGGCCATACACACGCATGTGCCCGGCACGAGTTTCAAGCCACTGGGTCAGGGACTCAAACCACTGTCAACCACGTGTGAGTCCAGCACTTTAACCACTATACTACCTGCTGGCCCCGGTAGGCTGCCTTTGTTTGTGCTTCCATAAATCTTGAGCTAAGAAGGCTCTTAGGCACCATCAGTTCCTTATGAAGATGAAGAACCCGAAGTGCAGAGAGATGGTTTTCGTAGGTCGTAACTCCCGCCCAGGCTGTGGGAGCACCACTCTTGTGTCCTGAAATCTGAGTACTCAGAGAATGAGGGCAGAGGTGGCTAGAGACTTCCCCTGCAGCTGCAGACTCAGTTCTTCATTAAGCCTCATCTTTCAGAGTGGATCTCAAACTTGAGTCTGCATAGAAGTCTCAGGAGAGCTTGCCTGGCGCCACCCGCAGTGTCCTGGTCAGCAGGTGCGGTCTGGAATGTGCATTTCTGGATGCTGCTGTTGCTGTGACAAGGACCCTGGAGAACTCTGCCTTAGAGGGTGGTTTTCCTCATGGAATTTGCAGGGCTTTTTTCTCCCTTTTATTCCAGGTAATAATACCAGTACTGAAAAATATTGCAGATGTGCAACTCCAAAAGCACCTCAGCTTGATGTATTGTGTAACAAAAGGCTACGTCAAAAGTCTAGAAGATGCCAAACTTTTAATCAAACAAATTTCAGGCCGCGAATCAGTGTATCAGGTAAGAAACAGTACTGGTCACTTGGGGGAAAGTAACCACTTAGATATATTAGTTTCTTTTCCTTTTCCTTTTTTTTTTTCCTTGGGTTTTTCCCATAGTGCATATGTGTTTGCAGGGGAGTGAGAGAGAGAGAGTGAGAGGGAAAGTGAGAAATCATCCCCCGGGAGCCCTCTCCTCCATTCCCCTCTCAGGATCCTGGGCACACATGCGCACATGGCCAGTGTGGTCTGAGACTTGAACCATGGTCATCCATGGGGGAGTCCAGTACCTTAACTACTATTCCACCTGCTGGCCCCTATTTTATTTTAAAACCATTTCTACATACACGTACTTGATCAAACAGATGCATTCCTATAGCTGAAGAGGATTCGTCGTTTACTCTGTGGTATGAGGTCCTGCAACAGAGCAGTCTCTGATCTTTGTGTTTCAGCTGTGACGGGTTAACTGCGCCTTATCTGAAATGCCAAGTACAAGCTCCAGAAAGACTCAGAGCTGCAGAGTAAGCTTCAAGCGCAGCAGTGTCTGGAACACAGAGGGCACCGACAGCTCTCTGTTGCATGACTGATGGAACAGAGATTGGCTGGTCCTGGTGTGGAGTTCACTCTTTAGTTACGGAAGGAGTTAGTTAGGAAACATGAAAAGGTCAACACCACAGTTTTTCATTATTGCGTTTGTTCTTGTATTCCCAGTAGAATGGCTCCCCAAGTAGCTGATTAGCTGGGCTCTGTGAGGACTTCCCTTGGTATATGGGGGAGTGCACATCAAGCTCTTCAGAGAACTAGCAGGCACAGTACTGAAGCAAGCTACTGAATGCCTCACATTCACCACCTGGGTCTAAGGACCGGCAAGCAGCAGAAGTAACTCAGAGGGAGTTGAGCCAAACAACTCTCCTTAATCAAACTAGGGGAGATTTCCTCTGTCATACTCCTTTTTCTCAGAATTTAAAGCCAGAATTGCACTTGATGTACTAAGAAATGCATATTTTTCTAAACTTCTTACAGAAATTATATGAAATTTTGGAAACCAACCAACAAGATGCTATCAAAGAACTGGGTAGGTACTTGGAGTATCTACATCCTGGAATCACACTTAGTTGTCCCATAATTTAACCAAAGGAAGACAAGTTTATGCTTTCATCAATTTACTCACTCATTCAACATTTATTTAACACATGTGACATCCCAGGCGTGGAAAAGCAATAGACCCCTACTTTTAAAAAGTGAAGAGTTTGGGCTAGTTAAGGTAGCTCAATCCCATTTGTATGGTTCGAGTCCCAGACCCAATGGCTTGAAAAACATACCTGATGTATGTGTGTGCATGCCCAAAATTCCAAGAGGAGAATGGAGGAGAAAGGGTTGTGGTGTGGCCATCCCCCCTGGGGTGTGTTTTTCCACTTTCCCTCTCTCTCTTTCTGTTTCTATCTTTCTCTGGTGAGCATACATGCCCCATAACAAAATTAAAAAAAAAAAAAAGAGTGATGGAGTGTAGAGCGTATCACTAGGGAGTTGTAGGAAGTGACAGAAGTCCTGTTAGTTGTTGTGGGTAAATAGAGGAAACAACCGGAAGAATGTGCAAAGTATACTGAAGTGGCACATTCAGATTTCTCAAGTTTGTAACAAAAAGACATGAGAAATTTAGCTTTACCTTTATGAAAAGTGGTTTGTTTTGTTTTGCTGCAAGGATATTCCGGAGTGTAGGGCTGCAAGAGATGGCATTTCTGGAGCATTGGCAGTCACTGTTTTCCTTGAAGCACACAGCAAGAGCCCAAGGATTTTCTGCCAAGCTTCTTGGGTCTGCTTTCCTACAGAGGGGGCTGGAGGCCAGGCTCTTAGTGATTGCAAAGGCACCTGGCAGGGGCCTGACCTAGGGTGGGCCCTTAACAAATGGATAGAAAGAAGACTGTTGCATGACTGATGGAACAGAGATTGGCTGGTCCTGGTGTGGAGTTCACTCTTTAGTTACGGAAGGAGTTAGTTAGGAAACATGAAAAGGTCAACACCACAGTTTTTCATTATTGCGTTTGTTCTTGTATTCCCAGTAGAATGGCTCCCCAAGTAGCTGATTAGCTGGGCTCTGTGAGGACTTCCCTTGGTATATGGGGGAGTGCACATCAAGCTCTTCAGAGAACTAGCAGGCACAGTACTGAAGCAAGCTACTGAATGCCTCACATTCACCACCTGGGTCTAAGGACCGGCAAGCAGCAGAAGTAACTCAGAGGGAGTTGAGCCAAACAACTCTCCTTAATCAAACTAGGGGAGATTTCCTCTGTCATACTCCTTTTTCTCAGAATTTAAAGCCAGAATTGCACTTGATGTACTAAGAAATGCATATTTTTCTAAACTTCTTACAGAAATTATATGAAATTTTGGAAACCAACCAACAAGATGCTATCAAAGAACTGGGTAGGTACTTGGAGTATCTACATCCTGGAATCACACTTAGTTGTCCCATAATTTAACCAAAGGAAGACAAGTTTATGCTTTCATCAATTTACTCACTCATTCAACATTTATTTAACACATGTGACATCCCAGGCGTGGAAAAGCAATAGACCCCTACTTTTAAAAAGTGAAGAGTTTGGGCTAGTTAAGGTAGCTCAATCCCATTTGTATGGTTCGAGTCCCAGACCCAATGGCTTGAAAAACATACCTGATGTATGTGTGTGCATGCCCAAAATTCCAAGAGGAGAATGGAGGAGAAAGGGTTGTGGTGTGGCCATCCCCCCTGGGGTGTGTTTTTCCACTTTCCCTCTCTCTCTTTCTGTTTCTATCTTTCTCTGGTGAGCATACATGCCCCATAACAAAATTAAAAAAAAAAAAAAGAGTGATGGAGTGTAGAGCGTATCACTAGGGAGTTGTAGGAAGTGACAGAAGTCCTGTTAGTTGTTGTGGGTAAATAGAGGAAACAACCGGAAGAATGTGCAAAGTATACTGAAGTGGCACATTCAGATTTCTCAAGTTTGTAACAAAAAGACATGAGAAATTTAGCTTTACCTTTATGAAAAGTGGTTTGTTTTGTTTTGCTGCAAGGATATTCCGGAGTGTAGGGCTGCAAGAGATGGCATTTCTGGAGCATTGGCAGTCACTGTTTTCCTTGAAGCACACAGCAAGAGCCCAAGGATTTTCTGCCAAGCTTCTTGGGTCTGCTTTCCTACAGAGGGGGCTGGAGGCCAGGCTCTTAGTGATTGCAAAGGCACCTGGCAGGGGCCTGACCTAGGGTGGGCCCTTAACAAATGGATAGAAAGAAGACAAAACGACAGATAAGCTCTGACTCACAATCTAGTTTGTGACATCTTATTTTCTTTTTCTTTTTCTTTTTCTTATTCTTGTTTTTTTGCTTTTTTGCTATAGGGTGCGTGAGCTCGCCAGATAGACAGAGAGAGACAGAAAGACAGAAAGCAAGAAATCACCCCCCAGGGGAGATGGTCACGCCACAATTCCTTCTCCTCCATTCTCCTCTCGGGATCTTGGGCACGCACGCACATGCGCCTGGCATGAGTTTAAGCCACCGGGTCCGGGACTCGATCCGCAGTTGACTACATGGGGGTCCAGTGACACAGCCATTACGCTAACTGCTGATCCCAATGACATCTTATTTTCATTAAAGAGGAGACAATATGCAGCTTGATCTCTCAGAAGGAACCACCAACCAAAGCCCAGGGGCTCTTTCATTCAGTCCTTTATTGGTCCTGTTAACAAAATATATAATACAGAGAAGGAGATAGATAAGTAAAAATAATCACCCTGTAGTGTAGTGGGCTCCATAGTAAAGGTATGCCGGAGATGCCGTGGGAATGGGGAGAGAGCGTGATCTTCTTTTAGTTGGGAAGGGGCAGTTTCTGGTTTTCTGCTCCATAAAGTGGAGATGAAAATAGTAACTCTGATCCTCCTGGCCTCATGGGTTCTGTGTTAAGCTAGAATGGAAGGCCATTGTGCACGTGCCTTGGAAGACATAAACTATTACACACGCGCTAGCATTACCGCAGTGTCTGTACAGGTTGCTTACTCAGTGTCACCTGCAGGACTCATGGAGCATGAGAATCGCGATGTGGTCATTGCTGCGAAGACTAAGCTGGTGATCCGGAATGTGATTTCCGACTCTCTGAAAGATCTAGCCTTCCTCCGCTCAAGAGGCATTATTGATAAATACGAGGGCATCGAGATTAAGACGGTAACAAAGCAATTTCTCATTTTGCTTTATTCCATCAGCCCTGTACCCTAGCCTGCATGGTGGCTTTAGCAGAGTGGAATGAATGAGGAAAATTAGAAAAAGGATTTAACCGCAGGTGTTAGCTCTGTAACTGCCAGAAAAGCCCTTGTAAAGGCCAATGGCAGCCGATGCCAGCACTCCATCCTTCAGAACTCTGGCTGCAAGTAGCAGAAACCAAGCTGAATTTAGTGAAGAGATGGGTCGGGGCACTTAGGAAAAGGACTCAGAGTGAAAACCCCACAGTAGGCAGCCATGTGGCCAGGCCTCAGGAAGGCTTTGAACCAAGACCTAGAGAACTTTCCAGAGCCTCCATTTTCCCACAGGGTTGCCTTCTGCAGCAGCTCCCTCTGTAGCCTCACTGGACGACTCTGTTTCTCTGCCCTCTGGTGGAATAGGTACGGCCCATCCCCACTGACTGTGGCTACGGAGGCGGAAGGCACTCAGTGTCTACGTGGCAGGGAGGGGTCTGACTTCTGTGTGTGCATGTGCTGGTGGGGGCCAGAGAGAGGGTGGTTCTGAGAAGAGGAGGGCAGAGAAGATATCCTAATTAACCAGTACATTGACTTCTGCAAAATTACAAATACACTTGCAAAACTAATAGGAAGGTAAGAGAGGAACATAGAAACGCCACTCTCTCACATCCACCATCTTGACTACATGGTGCAAAATAAGAGTGCTCTTTCTGTTCGCAGGTTTGGGTCTGCTTCCTAGCATCCAGCAGAAAGATGGGCATTCTGGTGCCACATGCTGTCTGCGATGCCCACTGACACACTGCTCCTGTGTGTCACATGCTCTTCCTTGGCACTGGCAGCTCACAGCCATGGGGCCCTATTCACTGTGCTTCTGGTCATTCCCTGGACATAGTCCCTTCTCTGTGGCCCCAGATAGAAAGGGAATGTGAGACAGGCCAGCGCCCTCACCTCCCACTCCCCATTTTTAGAATTAGACGGAGGGCCCATGAGCTCACGGGCATGTTTTTCAAGCTCCCAGGTCTGAGACGCAAATTGCACAGTGAGTCATGTGGGATCCACCTGCCTTAACCACCAAGCCACCAGTTAGCCCAACTTCCTTCCCTTTAAAAAAGAAATTATTTATTCATTCATTTTATTTTAATTGAACAAGAGAGAGAGAGAGAGAGAGAGAGAGAGAGAGAGAAAACAAGCCACCAGGTCCAGGACTCGAACTGTGGTTGGCCACATGGGAGTGTCCAGCTCCTTAACCACCACACCACCTGCTGGTCCCAACATCGTTCCCTTTTGAGGCTCTATCTCTTCAGTCTCTCTAACATCACAGGAAAGAGATAAATGGATAAGATGATTCCTCCTCGTGTCTACGTGAGGGAAGCAAAGAGCTCCATTACAGCTTTCCTCACATCGTGCTCCTACACTTACTGTGTTTTCTATTCTTGTATTTTTTCATTTATCACTTCAAAGGCCATAAGACAATGGAATGCTTGATGCCCATTAATTAAGATAAAGAGGCTTACTTTTTCCTATAGGTTTGTTTAAAAAAATATTTTAGTCTGTTATTCCATTGGTCACGGAAGTACTGAGACTGGGTGATTGACTCACAGTTCTGGCAACCTGAAAGTCCAAAGGCATAAGGCTGACTTCAAGGAGGCCTGCAATATGAGTGACAGGAGACTGGCTGTTGGGCGTGCGCAACGAGAGAGCAAGCGGCTGATGGCTGTCTCTTTATAACAACCAGCTTTCTGGAGAGTTAACCCCTTCTGATGAGGGCTAGAAATCACTGGGTTACTTGCGATATCATTAACCTATTCATGAGAGTTTGCATCTGTGATGCAAATAGTGTGATGCATTCACTGCCCACTAGGTCTTAGCACCTCCCAACATCAAATTCTGAAACATGAAACTTTGGAGACAGCCATTCTCCAAACCATTACAAAAGATTATAGATATATCAGTCATTCGCAGTTACTTACTGAATGCCTACTAATTACCTAATTGTCAGTAAAAGAAGTACAGTTATCTATTCTGGGTCAAAAAGGAGATAGGAAAAGCAATTCAGTTAAGTAGATAAATGTTGGATATTCACTCAGTGCCATGGGCTGTTGAGAAGATCCTTAATAAATACAACCCTGACTTCAAAGTCCATGGCTGGTTCTTTTGTCTCATTTAGTCACTTGTGCACCCAGCCAACAAAATTTACATAACATGGAGGGCGAAATGGAGAAGTGCAAGTAATAATATTACCAGGTAGTTAGTTCTATGCTGGAAATACGTAGGTAAGCCATGGGAATAAGAGAGAGAAAGTGATTTTCTCTTACCTCTTGGGGGAAGCCCACAAAGGCTTCTCAGAGGCCAAGAAACTGGTACTGCATCCTTTAAAAATTAGAATAATTTAGAGAAGCAAATCGCCTACATAGAAAAATGAATGAGAGGACATGGCATGAGATTGTATAGTGATCAACTATGAAGTTTAGAAACTTTGGATTTAAGACAAGGTAGGATATAATGTTAATTGAGTTAATAAATCAATGAAAATAGTAATAAGTGAAGATTAGGGATTAAAAAAGATTAGAGGACAATTCAAATAGGATAAGAGAAACTGAAAGTTAAAAATCAAGGTTAACTGGCACCAGCAGTAATGGCTATGTCACTGGACTCCCACGTAGTCGACCGTGGTTCGAGTCCCGGACCCGGTGGCTTAAACTCATGCGGGGTGCGTGTGTGTGCGTGCCCAAGATCCTGAGAGGAGAATGGAGGAGAAGGGATTGTGGTGTGACCATCCCCCCTGGGGGGTGATTTCTTGCTTTCTGTCTCTCTGTCTCTCTCTGTCTTTCTGGCGAGCGCACGCGCCCTATAGCAAAAACCTCTCAAAAAAAAAAGAAAAAAAAATCAAGGTTAACTAAGCATAGTGGTAGTTTATTTAAATTTCCTTAGTTCTTGCCTACTGCCTGTTTTTTTTTTTATTTTGTTTTGTTTTGTTACAAAATCTGATTACCATTCTTTTCATTGTTTTTAGGCACTTTTTAAAAAATTAAAAGTGTTGGAAAACTTTCCCATGGCCATCCCACCCCCTGCTCCCCACGAATACCTTCATAACTTCATTTGGCTGGAAAATGAAGACTTAATCATTGATTTCTTCAGGGTAAAGTTTCTGATCTTTATTTTGGCTTGAGTTTGATAATAATTATTTGCCATTTTTCCATTCTGTCATGCAAAATTAACAGAAAAGAATGTCCAAAGCATGAATCCTGCACTGTCCAATTTAGGGTAAGCCAAAAATAGAGGCCCAGCAGAACCCAGAGAGTCAATTTCTTTTTGAGCCTAAAGGGCAAAGATAGTTTTTCACAATGGCTTATCTGCTTAGGATGAGCTGTCTGTGTTTCCTCATTATGACCAGTCCCACTCTAGTTTCTGTTGTAGAATTTAGGCTTCCAAATATGCACTCTGGAAGAGACATTTTTAGAACAAGGATCTCAGATTTCATTTGATACACAGGCCAGACAGATCATATAAAAGTAAAACTAAATGTAGTATAAAAGAGAATAGGTAGGACTGTGGTGTATTCAAGATGTAGGCCTTGTCTAAAGTTAGCTGAGTATTACTCTAGGAATCTTAACTCTGTCAACAAATATCTGTTGAATATCCTCTACTTGCGGGTTGGTTCCAAGTTTTGAACTATGACAGTAAACCGAATATTAATAGATGAAGTCTCTTACTTTCACAGACCTTTTATTACATGGGTGGAGATGGCAATAAGTGTGCCAACACATCAAATATAGTCTGCAAGATGGCAATACATGGTATGGAGACGAGAAGGCAAGACAAGTGAATGTGGTGGGACAGTTGTATTACACAGCGTGGTTAGGGAAGACTGTTCTAATAAGGGCATGTTTGAAGAGAGATCCGAAAGAACTGAGAGACCAAAAGAATAGCAAGTTCAAGATCCTGAGATGAGGGGCCAGCAGATGATGTAGTGGTTATGCTACAGGACTCCCATAGGGCCAACTGAGGTTCAAGTCCTGAACCAGGAGCCTGTGTGTGTACCCAAGATCCCAGGAGGAGAATAGAGGAGAAGGGATTGAGGTGCAGCTATCCTCTCTAGAGGTGATTTCTCACTTTCCGTCTCTCTGTCTGTATCTCTGTCTCTCTCTGGCAAACCTATGAGCCCTAAGGCAGAGACCTCTTAAATCCTGAGCTGAAGTGTTCCTATGTGTCTGAGGAACATCTCAAAAGCCCTTGTCACAGGAGCAGGGAGTGAAGAGATGGAGTCATGGAGCTGCAGAGCCCGAATGCCAGACCTCTGGAGGGAGGCCATGGTATGGACTTCGGTGTTTATGCTGAGTTGAATGAAAAGTGCTTGAAGAGTTTTGACCAGAGGAGCGACATGATCTAACTTAGATTTTGAAATGACTGTTATGCTTCCTCCACGCTCAGATTGAGTTGTAAGAGGTCAAGGGCAAGTCAGGGAGACCATTTAGGAGGTGATTACAAATAATGGTGAGAGACAATGATGGTTTGGAGGTAACAGAAGTGGTTAGGCATAGTCAATCAGACTCTCCATATGTTTTGAAAATATAGCCCATAGAGACTGATAGAGGGAATGCTAGAGAGAGAAAGAAAAAGAAAGAGACTTGTAGAATCTTAGTCTGAAAATACAACAGGGTAACCATTTACTTAAGGTAGAGAGAAGATTTACATGAAAAAGGGCCAGAACTTGATCCTGAAGTTTGAGAAAGCTATCAGACATTGGGTGGAGACATTGAGTAGGCTGTTGGAGATAGGCCTGGAATTCAGGCGGGAGGCCCAGGCGGAAGGCAGGCATTTTGCAGTTGTCACCATGGAGATGGCACTTAAGGTCATGAAACTTGATGAGCTAGCTTCTGTAAGTATGGATAGAGAACAGACAACCAGGACTGAGCCCTGGGCTACCCCACACTTAGAGGTGGGGAGAGGAAGAATCAGCAAGAATTGAGGAGCGATCTGTGAGGTAGGAAGAAAACTAAAAGTAAAATGGCTTCTCAGAAGTCACGCAAAGAAAGCATTTCAACAGGGAGAAAGCCATCAGTGAAAAGAGGCTGAGAAACCAAGGTATTTGAAGACTGAAAATAACTATGGGGGTTTAATAATGTGGAGGTCAGATATTTTGTTCCCCCAAGGAAACTGTAAGTCTGAATTTTTATGCGAAGTTTCTAAGATTTTAAAATTTGGCAACCAAGTCAAAATTTTTAAAAATAATGTGTAGCCCAAAGAAAATATATATCTGTGAACTGGATATGACCCATGGACCATCAGTTTGTGCCTTTGGTTTTCAATGGCTGCTGTATTACCAGGGCTGTAATGTTTTTGTTAACCTGTTAAAATCTCAGTTAGATTTTAAGACTCAGAAAAACTGTGACCAAGAGCGGTCCTTGCTTTTTCACAAACTAGGTTGCACTGCATCATGTGACCTAGGCGTGCACACTATAAGGCAGCTGTCTGTAAAGACCTCCCTGAACTACCAAGACTGGGTCTTCTGGCTTTTCCATAGTGCTATTCCTATTTCCTTCGTCAGACTTATCACACTTCCTGTAGACTTCTATACAACCTCACTGCAAGTTCTCTGGAGGCCGGGAAGTCGTTTAGCTTATAATTATAGCTCAAGTCCCAAACAGCGGCTAAAAAAGAGAGTTTTCCTTCATTAATTCACTCACTCATCCCATAAAATGTATTGGGTATTTACATCCCTTACTGTGCGAGGTGTGAATCACAAAGCCTATCTGTTTATTTCTAAAGGCTGATGTGCTATGTCAGCACATTATACAGGTTGCATAGCCCTCTCCAAAATGCTTGAACCAAAGTATTTTGAATTACAGATTTTTTAATATTTTGGAATATTTCCATATACATAATGAAATATCTTAAGGATAAGACATAAGTCTCAACATGAGATTTATTTATACTTTGTAGACACTTTATACACATAGTCTGAAGGTAATTTTATAATCTATCATTTAAATTTATAATTTTAGAAAGCAGTGTTTTAACTGCGACCTACCATATGAGGCCAAGTGTGGAATTTTCCACTTGCAGTATTATATTGGCATTCAAACAGTTTTGGATTTTGCATTTCTGATATTTCGATTAAGGTTGATCTTTTTTTTTTTAAGAGATTTTTGCTATAGGACACATGTGCTCACAGAGAGACAGAGAGACAGAAAGCGAAAAATCATCCCCGAGGGGACGGCCACGCTGCAACCCCTTCTCTTCTACTGTCCTCCTAGGATTTGGGGCACACCTACATGTGCCTGGCATGAGTTTCAAGCCTCCAGGTCAGGACTTCGAACAGCAGTTGGTCACATGGGAGTCCAGCACCTCAAGCACTACGCCACACGTGGCCCCACCGAGGATGCTCAACCTTTAATGCATTAACAAATCAGAAATACAGCTTGTATTTTAAGCTTTTTAAAAGCCATTTTAAATTTTAAAATCTTACTTCTGTTCATATAAATAAACTATGAATCTTTTGTGTTGATGCTTACCTTTTTTTCTTTTTTTTTTTTTTTTTTTTTTTTTTTTTTTTTTTATGCAGGACAAAGTCACACTCGCCTGTTTTGACTATGGAGATATCATTTGTAGAGAAGGCGAAATGCCAACTGGAATCTACTTAATCATTTCAGGAATGGCAATTGTAAGTGACCATTGAGTCTTCACTTAAAATGTAGTTTTGAAATATATCATTGTGGGGCCCGCAGGTGGCATGGTGGGTGGACTCCCACATGGTCAACCATGGTTCAAGTCCTGAACCTGGCACTCTCTCTTTCTCTCTCTTTCTGTTTCTCTCTGGCAAATTTAAAAATAAATGAATTCATTAAATTACATTAAAATATTTTTTTATAAAAGAAACACTTCATTGTAACATAAGAAGACATTGAGAAGCAAAAAATTTCCAATTTTTTTTTTGGGGGGAGAGGTTTTTCACCATAGGGTGCGTGTGCTCGCCAGACAGACAGAAAGAGACAGAGATAGAAAGCGAGAAATCACCCCCCAGGGGGGATGGTCACGCTGCAATCCCTTCTTCTCTATTCTCCTCTCGGGATCTTGGGCATGCATGCACATGCGCCTGGTGTGAGTTTTAAGCCACCGGGTCCGGGACGTGAAGCACGGTCGACTATGTAGGAGTCCAGCGACATAGCCATTACGCTAACTGCTGGTTCCCAAAAAATTTCCAAATTTTAACATGGTCTCTTTTCCAAATGAAACTTTCCACTCAGAGCGAGTACTACCGGTGAGAGGAGGTGACTGTCCTCACACCTGAAATGTGCTGTGGTAGTCATCCTCACAGTCACCCCGAGAGGACGCAGTATCTGCCAGGACGTTGAGATGAAACCAGTAGTGGTTTAAATTACTCACCTGCAGGAAATAAGAGTTCAAGAGCGAGGGAGTGGGCTGCAAAGTCAGATCCTTGCAGAGTTCAAGTGGATGAGGATCCAAATACTAGTTTGAATGTGATCGATGGATGGTTTTGTTGACCAGAGAGAAGAGAGGTTTCAGTGGAGTGTTGGGGGGTAAGAATCTTTGTATCTTAGAGTAGGAGTTTAGTAGCTGAGTACACAGGTGAGTCCCAGCTTCTGACCTAAAGAATTATGAGATCCTAGGTTGTGGTCACGAGGGACAAACCTTTATTAAAGGGAAAATGACATATTTGGCTTTATGGTTTTGGAAAGGATATTTCAGACCTTAAAAATACCATGGAAGGGGGCCATCCATGTGGCATGGTGGTTAGGAAGTCTGGATCCCACATGGCCAACTGTGTGGTTCGAGTCACAGACCTGGACGCCTGAAAAACATACTAGGCGTGTGTGCGTGTGTGCACAAAATCCTGAGGGGAGAATGAAGGAGAAGGGATTGCAGCATGGCCATCGCCCCTGGGAAGCAAATGCTTTCTCACTTTGCCTGTCTCTCTCTCGTGAGCACATGTGCCCTATAGCAAAAACAAACAAACAAACAACAAAAAGTAAAAAAAAAAAAAAAAAAGGAAGTAAACTATTACAGTGAACCTAGTACTAACACAAGATAGCAACTTACTAAGTATGTGGCACTATTCTAGGTGCTTTTCATTTATGCATTCACTCATGGAGTCCATAAATATTTACTTCATTACTGCCATGCAGTGGGCACTGTTCATTCTAGCCGAGGGATGGACAAAACAGGCAGAAACCCCTGCCTTCCCGGAGCTTCTTTTCTAGTGGAGGGACAGAAGGAAACGGGGCAATAAACAAAATTAAAAGGTTAAATATATGCTATGTTAGAAACGATGGATCTATGAAGAGGTTAGTTGTAAATTTTAAAAAGCTGGCCAAGACAGACGTACATTATGATACTTAATTTTTATAATAACCTTATTTTTTATGGGAGAAAACTGATGCTCAGAGAGCTTAATTCTCTAGGCCCCGGCTGTGCATAATATAGAGGCGGAAGATGATTTTAGACCCACGTCGCTTCCCTCCAGTCTCCATTTGCGTACCCGTTATGTATACTTACATTAGAACCCTAACAAAAATATATTGCTACCAGTGTTTACGAGGTACGTCAAATCAGGCACCCAAAATAAAAGCTGCAACAAATTTGTTTCTTTTTTAAAAAGTTTATTTCATCCATGAGAGAGAGACAGAGAGGAGAGAGAGATAGAGACAAAAGTTACCCCCAGCAGGGTCTTCATGCCATGGTCCTAGTCTCAGCCAGCCTGGGTCAAGGCACAGGTGTGCACCCAGTGTGTGTAAAGGCAGGCCTCAGAACCAGAACCTGGGACTTTTCCATGTGGGCCCAGCAGTGCAAAAGCATTATGGTACCTCTGCTCCCTAAGGGAACATGACCCATCAGCTAGACTAGCTAAGCCTTCTTAAAATATAAGTTCAATGAGCAACCAGCAGGTGGCATAGTGGTTAAGGTACTAGACTCCCACATGATTGACAGTGGTTCAAGTCCTGAACCTGGTATCTTGAAAACTGTGCCTGCAGCATGTGCATGCATGACTGAGAGGAGAATGGAGGAGGAGGGATTGCTTTGTGGCCATCACCCCAGGGGGTGATTTCTCACTTTGTCTCTCTGGCTAGTGCATGCACCCTATGGCAAAAATCTCTCAAGTAAATTAAAGAGAGAGAGAGAGTCATATTATTGGGTCATCAGAAGAGTCATGATGCATTTTCGCATAGAAAAAAATACATACTCTTCTGATGACCCAGTAGTGTTCTCTGGATGCATTAGATTTATTATCTCACAGTTCTGTAGTGCAGACGTCCAGTAGGCTCCACTGGTTTTTCTGCTTGGCTCTCATGAGGCTGAGGCATTCTAGGGGCAGAACTGGTTTCTAGGCTCAGGGGGGCTTTCGGCAGTATCCAGATCCTTACAGCTGTGGGGCAGAAGTCCCTGCCTCCTTGCATGCTGCCAGGCAGGCCCACCTCTAGTTCCCAGAGTTCCTCTTTGCTCCGTGCATGCATCTCAGCGCCAGCCAAGGCACGTCTGATCTTTCTCAGCATGCCGTGTCTCTCTCTCCTGCCTTCCTCTTCTACTTTCCAGGGCTGGAGTGCTTACACTGGGTCCACCATGATATTTCATTTATATGCTCGTCCCATCAAACAATATCTCCCACCTCAAGCATTAGCCCATGCTGATATAAGAATCTCTCACAGTGAGTGAAGCACTCGCTGCAGACTGTACTTGCTAGTTTTGGTAGGATTTTTGCAGAAGAAAGGTATAAATAGAAAGTTGTCAATAGGGGACATCTGTAAAACCAAAGATTAAAAACAAATCCTTGCCCTGGGGAGTTGAAAATGTGAAAGAAACCATGATTTTTATAAAACCTGATTTTCCTTCACATCTGACAGAGGTCATAAAGAACCTTTGTGGGGCCAGCTGGCGGTGTGATAGTTTAGGCATCTCCATCCCACATGGCAAACTTTGCAGTTTGAGTTTAAGACCTGGTGGGCTTAAAAAACATGCCAGGTATGTGTGCCCCCGAGGACCCAAGAGGAGAATGGGAGAGAAGGGATTGTGGCGTGGCCATTTCCCTTTGGGAGTGTTTTCTCATGCTCTCTCTCTCGCTCTCCATTTTTTTTTTTTTCTGGCAAGTGCACATGCCCTAAAGCAAATTTTGAAAAAGAAATTAAAATAAAATAAAAAAAGATTTGCTTTCTATTGGAATAATTGTAAGATATAGTGGGAGTTTCTAAGAGTTTAATCAAAGGGTTTTTTGGGTTTTTTTAATTGACAGAGGACACATGTGCTGGCCAGAGAGAGACAAAGAGACAGAGAGAAAGAGGGAGACTGCACTCCTGAGTGGGTCCTGGTCATGTGCAATCCCTTCTCTATTTCTCTGTCCTTTTAGGATTTGGAGCATGCACATGCACTTAGTGTGTTTTTGAAGCTGCCTGGGTTGGGATTAGGGCCCTGGTCTGGTCAGCCATGTTGGATCCAGCTCCTATAACCACTAGGCTCCAGACCAACTCGGACCAAACAGTTTAACATCTCTCATTTCCCTTCGTACACTCTTCCCTTTTTGCAGTTGCGTGGCTCGCCTCCTTCCTTTGGGGTAGAGAGTAGCCAGAGGCCTGATAGAGAGTCCAAAACCATGTTCACGGAGTACTGCACAAGTGGGGACATCATCGGAGAGCTGAGCTGTCTGCTCAAGCACGAAATCGAATACACCGCCATCTGCGAGACCGTTCTAGAGGTAGGAAAGTGGTTGTCGTTAGTTCCTCCTCAGGTCGGTGAGGAACACCAGCATTGTCCCTTCTTTTGGGTTCTGACGCCTTATGTAGCCACCCACGCTTCTGAGAGGTGTGGTAGATAAGCAGAGAGCAGGTAGATTTCATGTCCCAAATGCCAGGCGCCACTAGGCTCTGCCCCATCCTGGCTCTGAGCGAGTTATTTCCCTCCTTGGCTCTCTATGTCCTTGTTTGTTTATTTTTTAAAACAATTATTCCGTATTATTTGTTATTGTTATTGTTATTATTTAATTTGACCAGGAGAAAGAGAAGGAAAGTGAGAAAGGAAGCCACCAGGTCCAGACTCAATCCGCGGTCGGCCATGTGGGAGAGAGCAGGCTGACCACTACCCACCTGCTGGCCCCACATCCTTATTTGTTTTTGGGGAGAACAGTTACCTTTTGATTTTCTGAGGATTAGGAAAATATCTACATAGAGCGCCCGGCACATATAGGTGCTCAATCAATGATCACCGTTGTAAGGGCTATGTTTTAAAGAATATTTGCTTCTTTTTGAACTTCCCTTCTTCTGTTTTTCACTTGCTAAGTAAAAAGTTATCTAGTCAACAAATAAATGGCCTGACATTCCAGTGGATGTGAGAACTCAAATAGGAATGGCTCAAAATCCCCACTGCAAAGAATGGTTCATCTTTGGGGTCTTTAAGCAGCAATGGAGCAGGATCCAGAGTCTTAGGGGTGTGCAGTGTGGAAGGGAACGTGGTTTTATTAGTCCAGCACCGTTTCATTTCTGAAAGAGGGTAGAGGCATGAATTGAGTTAAAAGGTTGAATTGAATTCATTGAAGCTTGTTTAACTTGAGTTAGGAAAGAATGGTCTTCCTCCTTTGGATAGCAGTTTGTCTCTGGCAACAAATACTATGAATGAGCCCACTTTACCTGCTGTGGCTGAATACAGGTGGTTTGTGTGGCTTGGTTCCTCAGCCTTGTGCTTGGAGCCGTATCTCTCACTGTGTCTTCTGACTGATACGAATTTTCCTAACCTATTAGTAAGTCTACACTTAGACCGTACATGACCATTTATGAGCTTCTACATGGCAAACAGCCTTTCCCCAATACAGATGCTTTTAGTGGCAGGATATCGTTTGCTTTAAAGTTGATAGTTTTTCAGAGAGATAAAGTGAGGGTAAGAGACCAGCTGGCGATGTGGTGCGGTGGTTAAGGGACTGTATGGCACATGGCCCACTCTATGGTTCTAGTCCTAGACCTGAGGCCTAAAAATCATGCCAGGAGCATGTTCATGTGTGCCCAAAATCCTGAGAGGAGAATGAAGGAGGAGGGATTGCAGTGTGACCATCCTCCCTGAGAGGTGATTTTTCACATTCTCCCCACTCTGTTCAAGCACACATGTCCTATGGCAAAAAAATCTTGAAAAAAAAATGGGGCCAGCAGGTGGCGCAGTGGCTAAGCTCTGGACAGTCCCACGCGGCTGACCACTGTTTTATTCCCAGACCTAATGGCTTGCTTTCTCATTCCCCCCCCCCTCTCTCTCTCTCTCTGTGTGTGTCTCTCTCTCTGGTCAAATTAAAATGAATGAATGAATGAATTAAATTAAAGAAATAATTCGTTTAAAAAGTAATGGAGGCTAAATGTATAAGCCTCCTGTTTATTGATAGTCTTCTAATTCTAGTTTCAAATCAAGCTGCCCGTGGCCTGGTGCCTTGTTGTTTCAGGCCTGCTTTATCTCCATGGAGGATTTATATGAAGGATTTGATGCCTTCTGGCCATTCCTGGAACATAAAATATGGCTAAAGCTTGCTCTTAGTATTGCCCATAAGTATTTTGAATCAAGTATCAGCAATGAGGTAAGTTACATGATTGAAATATGAATGAGTTTTTATGCACTGTATTTTTTACAAAATACATTTCATTTGGACCAGCAAATGGCATAATGGTTATATCACTGGACTCCCACATGGAGAAACATGGTTCAAGTCCTGGACCTGCTGGCTTGAAACTCACACAGGATGTGTGTGCCCAAAATCCCGAGAGGAGAAGGGATTGTGGCATGGCTATCCCCCCTGGAGGGTCATTTCTCACTTTTTGTTTCTGTCTCTCTGGTGAGCACATGCATCTTATAGCAAAAGTCTCTCTTTAAAAAATGTATTCCATATTTCTTGAGACATAGAAATGAAGGTAGTGTCTGATATTCATAAATGAGATTGCTAGCGTTTCAACCATACTCTGATTCTGACAGCTTTCAAGTCCTCTTTTCACAGCTAATTTTCCCAAGCTACTTGCAATCATCTAAAAAAAAAAAAAAAGAAGGAAAAATAAAAAAAGCAGACCCAGCAGGTCGATCCCTCAAGAGCCAAGCACAGCATTAATCAGAATGAACTAATGAACACGCAGCCTGATCTTCACTATTGTTTTCTCCTCCTACACTAGTATGAATTCCCTGCCTTTTCAGCTTCCGTATTGCGGCGAATGAGCTCTTCCATGAAATCCCCCTGCAGGATAGTGCTTCAAGCCTGTCCCAGGGCTGGCACAGCTAACAATCCCGTCTTTGTGTCCTATTTAATAATTACGCAAACCTCAACCATGACTCAGGACCTGGGGAAGTGACAGACTTGACATTCAACCATGCTCACTGAACCGAAACTGAATATAGCACTGGGTTAACTCAGCTTGTCATGTGAGTCAGTCAGATTTCCTTCCAGGTGAGAGTAACTTTCAGAAAAACATCAGCAGAGCTGTGCGGAGGTTGAGCCTCTTCCTCTTGTCTCACCTCTTCATGAGAAGTAAGATAAATTTAGAGCCTACTATGACGCTCAGGGAGAGAAGTAGGACCATTGAGCTGAAATTCACGACTCAGACTTGACCCAGTAAGAAGGTGAATTTTTCTTAAGACATTTTTTTGCTAGGGGGCATGCGTACTCTCCAGAGACCAAGACAGACAGAAAGTGAGAAATCACCCCCAGGGAGGATGGCCATGTCACAATCCCTTTTCCTCCATTCTCCTCTCAGATTTTGGGCACGCATACACTTGTTCCCTATGTGAGTTTTAAGACGCTGGGTCAGGGACTTGAACTGTGGTCGACTATGTGGGAGCCCAGCAATGTAACCATTATGCCATCTGCTGGTCCCTATCCTTCATAATTTTTTAAAAATTCACAAAGTATAAATACTCAGCATATAGGTGAGGAAATACAAACATAAAACATAAACAACAGTAACCTTCTACCTCCAATTTTACTCAGCAGAGAATCTCTGTTTAATACTTTGGTGCCTTTCCCTGTAGTTTTTCCCACTAAAAAGCTAGCCAATTAAGACCTTTTGGAATCACCAGGCACAGATAAGATTGTACTGCCCTCTGCCTTCCTATGAATCACAAAACTCAAAACATGCATGCATTTTAAAACCAAAACAGCTGACCGCTTGGATTTTCTGATTGCAAAATTCCAGAAAAGTTAGCAGCCTTCTGGTGCGTTTGGTGCCCTGGCTGAGCCGACACCTCAGCTCCTGTTTGACTTGTAGTGACCGGGGTCAAGGCTGGCTCAGTGCTACTTGAGTGGAGGTGTTCCCACTGAACTTTGCCTGGCAGGGCTGCTGGCCAGGAGATTCCTGCCACGGGACTGACCGCTCGCTCCTGTACCAGCAGGCCGGCACTGCTGCAGCCGAGCGATTGCACCCCCAGCCCCATCTGATTCAGCCTCAGCACCCTGATCGTCTTGTTTTGCCCTTTTGTTACCGTCTGCTCACTTGTCAAGAAGGACGTTGGCTCAGTACTAGGAAAACCGTGAGCTTAAGACTGCTGCTGTGTGAGTAGAAATGCAGGGAGGCAGCTGGCCACCGTGCTGAGGCCTACTGAGAGTGCTTAGCTCAGGGCTGGGCAAGCCCCTCAGGGTCACAACGCAATAACAACATCCAGACACCTGTCACAGGCCATTCTGAACTGTAAACGCATCCTGTCTGTTGGTACCAGTGTCCGTGTGTATTCTGACATCCAGAAAGAATTCTGCCTGATCGGCGAATTTGCTTTCTTTTTCCGTTTGTTTGTTTGTTTTGGTCTGGTTTTTAAATTTATTTGCTCTTATTCTTTTTAAATTTCACCAGAGAGAGACAGAAAAAGAGAGAAAGGGAAAGTGAGAAAGCAAGCCACCAGGTTTGGAACTTGAACTGCGGTTGGCCATGTGGGATGGGAGTCCAGCGCCTTAACCACCACACCAACTGCAAGCCCTGAATTTGCTTTCTTTGGATACCATTTGTTAGTCTGTGTGATTTATAGAGAAAAATGCAATTCTCTTGTAGGACTTAGAGTTTCAGAAGTGTGTGACACTCAAGCACGCCTATGTGGAGACTTTATCAAGCGATAATGAAATGGTGATTAATAACATGACCATGAAATTAGTTATCCTTGTGTATGGCAGTGTGATTGACACCATGACGGAGCAGATATATCTTGCACCTTGCATCATACCTAAAACCTGTGAACAGGTAACGAGTGTTACTTCCCAAGAGTCATTTGCTTTTCATGGTGCCCATAAGTGACTTTAGCACTCAACCAACCATCCACTGAATCTGGGAAGGCCCTGCGGTTCTTACCTGCCCATGACAGAACAGTAAGATGTTTGAGGACTTCTGTGTGCTGGGATGCAGGTGCCCACCACAGGGTGTGGTGCAGGGCCAGGGGTTGGAATCTGCCCGCTCCCTGGGGTGGGGCCTTCTCAGAAGAGCGACAGGGTGCAGTGCACCTTCCCTGGTTCACACCAAAGCCATGGTGCTGCATGCTAGCGTGTCTCTGGTTTATAAGAAGGGCGTTGAGGACAGGCTGCATGACTTTATCTCCAGGTTAGGGGCTGTGGGTATGACTTGATAGATGGCCCGAAACCCTGGGGCTTCAGCATTCTGTGCCTCTTTAAGGACAGGAGCTGGCGGGGGGTGGGGGAGACATAGAGGGCATAGAAGGTGCAGGAAGGGTGGGAGCAAGGTCTCTGATGGGCAGAGTCTCCTGCTGTTGGACCCCAGGGGTGATGGGAGGGTGGGACTAGGAATGGGAGGACCAAGAGGCTGTGAGAAGAGCCAACCTCTGGTGGGTAGTTTGATCCCTTTGGGAGAGGCATTTTCTGTTTAGACTGTGAAAGGTCAGTAATTAAATGAAAATTTAATTAATTAAGGGAAAGGTTGGTTAACCTTAAAAGTGAATTTGCCCCCTTTGTAGCATTCTGATTTTGTGCTTTTCAGCAATTCAGAGGATGAAAGTAGTTTTAAAAAAACCTTAAAAAAATTTTTTTAAGGGAACAAGAATCTCCTTAGCTTCGAAACAAGGGTGGGGGTAAGAGGCACGTGGGCAATAGGAGCAATACCTACAGCTGCGTTTGTTAAGAGCAGTTGTTAAGGGTTTGGAGTCGGGCACATTTGAATCTAACCTTGACCCCTGTGCCACGGAGCAGGAGCCTGAGCAAGGTGCGTACCCATTCTGACCCTCCGTCTCTCCCTAGAGAGACGTGGTAAAGGCAATGGCCATCTCATCAGGTCGTTGTGAGGGTTCAGGGAGATGCCGAAGGTCTCTGGGAAGGGTCCTCGTAGCGACTGCTTGTCTGCTGCTTGCATTCTGGGAGGAGGAGTCCATGGCCCATGGGGCAAGAACTCCAAGAAGGGACGGCAGATCTGCTGTTTGGGGAGGCTGGACTTGAGCCTCATTACGGTAGTCAACTCACCGGATGGGGGAGACGACCTGCTTTCTAGACAGGCATTTCCAGGCTAGTTTCAAGTAACGTGTAGACGTGTCCTCTCTGCTGTCTATCATATGCAAAGGATGATGTGCTGGCCCAAGACTTCTTGAAGCAATATCAAAGAGGATTTGAAATTTAAAGGCAGAGCTTAGACTGGATACCCAGTTCTATGAATATGTTTTAGTTTATTTCTTCTACTCTTTGGAAAGGTTGGGAAGCTGCTAGCTTAATCAAAGAATGTCTTTTCGACTATTTTTCCCCTTTAGGTTCAGGGAATTGCAGATTTAACCAAGCTGCTGGTAATCCGAGTGTCTGAGCCTTCCAAAAAGAGTAACACCCCCGTCATGGATCATCGGTAAGGGATAGCTTTTTATGGAAGGAAGACCCTTGAGAAGGACCTTCAATGCATGTGAAGTTCATTTACTTCTAAGAAAGTGGTTTGAGAGGGCATTTTTATCACTGGTGGTTTGTAATGAGTCCTCATCCATGGCTCCAACTGGGCTGCCACATTGCTTCTGGGAAGTCACATATCAGAGGCTTCTAGACAGTGAAGTCTGGGTGGCTCCTTCCTCTTCCATGTCTCTCCCCCGAGACCTTGACAGAGGAGAGCAGTTTCCATGTGGTATGCTCTTCCAGGCCTGGTTGGCTGGAGCACGTAGTGCTGTTGGAGGCAGCACAGGAACAAGAGGGGACAGGTGTTCTCCCTGAGGGCCCAAGTGTGTGCGCTCCTGGTCATGCAAGGGAATAACCCATGCTCACTGAGGATCCCCAACCACGATCACCACCAATCCAACTGATTTGCTTCAGATGGTCACTCAGTAACTGTGATTACTAGATGCTCCTTGGTTCCCTAACACACACATTATGGTGCTGAGCGTGGTGCTGAGAGACTAGCTGGAAAGGCCTTGCTCGAAAGAAGACACATTCCAGAGCGTTCATGCTGGGCTCAGCATCCCACCGGACCGGGCCCAGCCTCACCCTCCCAGCTGCCCCAGACGGATTGCACAGACGTCCTTGATTGCGGTTCTCATCTGCCCCATCCTCACGTTTGCCATCCACATGGCCCTCGGACTTAGACACTCTGAAGTTCCGAATGAACTGTTCATGTGAGGGAGGACTGACATGACTGTAGATTGTGTACACAAAGTGTATACAGTATAAAACTAGTATTTCATTAATATTTTGTATTTCACCATTTCTTACTTGCATACTTCTTATAAAATGCCACCCCACTGTGCCAAATGCTAATTGGTGAGTGAGCCAAACAAGTTTACCCGCGTGGGGAGGAGAGACAGACATTCGATACGGCATTCTGCTTTTTCCTTTGCCACCATCTGCACCTAGACATTCTCACGGCTCCCATCCACACTGTTCTGGGGTCATGTGCAGTAGTCTGGGTTGGGGTCATGCTCGGCTCCTGGGCCACCTGTCTAGGAAGGCTGGCAGCTCAGAGCCTTGCGTCTGTACCACAGGACACCCTGTGGGCCATTGAGCCAGAGATCTTCCGTACTTCAAGGAATCAGGCCACGGTACCCTCCTGTCCCTGGCCCTAGGCCTCTCTCCTCCATCATGCGCTCTGGAGTCATCACTCTGTATTATCAATGGTTTGAGACAGAAGTCATAAACGGTAGGCCCCTGGATTGCATCTGGCCACACACTGGGTTTGGCTCCTTCTTATTTTCCTTTAACATTTTAAAGTGGGTTGCCAAGTAGAAACATACAGACACGTTACATTTATACTGTACAGTTTTGGGGTTTTCATGAACAAGAAGGGCTTCCAGCACTCAGCCATCACTGTCATATCTGGCAACAAGTACACAGAGCTGAGTATTGGCTGGTTTCTACAGAGGGAGTCGATGCTCCTCAGTTTGCCACAGTCCACAGTGTTCCCTTTTGTCTTGACCTACCCCACTTTGGTCATTTGTGTGGTCTGCCTGTGTCCACTGAATTTCTCAGCCTTAGGTTGGACTTTTGGGAGCCAATTTCCTCGAAAGGAAGAAAATAAAGAATCTGTTTGAAAGGGGGAAGAGAAAAGGAAGATTTATAGGAAGAAAGCAAATTATTATTTCAAAATATTCTATTCTGCCTTTATTCTTAAACTCCTAATTTAGTTTTTCTATTCTGTGCATGTATTTGATTAACCTCAGTCAACACCAGTCTTCGAACAGCCAACAGAGAAAATAACTGGAAGGTAAAACAGGAGGTAATAAAGTCAGTAGTGTGATCAGATTTTTCTTATTGTGAATATTGAACTACACAGCTAAAATAAAATGTCAAGTAGCAAAACACAGGTGGTGAGCAAAGGAAGTCCCAGATGCAACTCACTAATTTGGACAAATTGGGATGAAGCTTACCAGAATTACTTAAGTTAAAATTATAGAATATTTCTGAAAGATGTAATTTTGCTTCACCCAATTTTTTCCCTCTTCATTTCTGCCCCTGATACTTAGTTAGTTCAAAGAGTAGAGATGTATGAGGTTAGGGATGGGAAGGGACATGCATGATATTGGGAAAAGTCATGATGCATTTTTTCCATAGAAAAACAGAAAAAAATGATCATGACTTTCTGATGACCTATTGCATGTATTTACACATGATTTAGACAGGAGTGTCTGAGTAGCTAATGTTCTTTCTCTCTCTCTCTCTTTTTTTTTTATTCATTCATTTATTTTAATTTGACCAGAGAGAGACACAGAGAGAGCGAGGGAAAGTGAGAAAGCAAGCCACCAGGTCCAGGAATCAAACTGTGGTCAGCCATATGGGAGTGTCCAGCACCTTAACCACCATGCCTCCCGCTGGTCCCCGCCAATGTTCTTTTTCTTAATGATAGAGAGCATGTAAGAGAGATTGAGAGAGAGAGGAGGAGAAAGAAAGAGAAAGAAGAAAGAGGAAGAAAGAAAAAGAGAGAAAGAAGAAAAAAAGAAAGAAAAAGAAAGAAAGAGAGAGAGAGAGAAAGAAAAAGAGTGTCACCCTTGACAAGGTCTCATTACACCAAGATCTCCCTTCCCCAGCCCTCCATCTCATCACGATCTCAGGTGCCCGTGCAAGTATGCCTGGTATGTTCAAGTCAACCAGGGAATCCAAACCTGTGGTTGGCTCTGTGGATTCCAGCACTGCAGGTCAGGGTGGCGCTGACTGCTCTGCTGAGGTTGGGCCTCGTAGTCTCCCTCTGGGTGGGCCTTCCCTGCGTATGTGGGTGTGGAGCCAGTCGTGGACATGTCCCTAGAATAGCAATTTTACTTGAAGATTTTTTTTTTAAACAGGAAAAGTTAACTATTTAACTGTTAAGTTATTAAAAACATTTTATATTCAAATGAGCATATTATGGAGTTGGATGACAAATTTGCATGAATTTTTAAGATAAAACAAGAGACTTAAACACATTTTGTGTGGAGAGTCACTTCGATTTCTGCCCCCACATCTTTTCCTACTTCCTCAGCAGTCGGGACATTCCAGGAAGTCTGAGGGGTGCTGCAAACATGCCTGGAGGTGGAGGGGGAGTGGGCTACCACACTGGATCAGCGTGTAGGAGAGCAGAAGGCCGGGGGGTGGGGGGTGGTCTTGTGACTCAGGTCATGTGGGTGGGGCAGCAGGGGCCAGGAGAGTGCAGAAGGGACCAGGTAGCAGTGGTGGTCCTCAGGATAGGCATTAGGCACCCTCAGCCCCCTCTGTTCCTCCCACTCTAACAGCCAGATGCCAAGTCACCCCAAAATACACACGCCTTCTAAGGAATAAATGACATGCTGTGCAAACACAGCTCCAAATCAGGTCCCTCGACTCACCCCATTCCCAGCCAAATGGACACCCTAAGGCCCTTCTAACAGGAATGTGGGTCCTACCACTGTCATTTACGATAGTCACGATGGTTCACAGTGCATGCGGCAGAGAGGGAGAGTTGTATTGATCACACACTAGGGTCAATAATGCCTTCAAGCAAAGCAACTTAATTCTTTTTAGGCAACCCTCCTAGGGTCATCCTTTCCTCTCAAGGGGACCATATTTCACAAGTGGGAAGCCTAATCGAGAGTCAGATAAGTGATTCTTCAGCTATTACTGTCATTTCTGGGGCCCATTAAGAAAATTCTCATTCCAGTTTATTTATTTATTCAAAAAATTTTATGCCAGAGGGCATGTGTGTGTGTGTGTGTGTGTGTGTGTGTGAGAGAGAGAGAGAGAGAGAGAGAGAGAGAAAGAGACAGCACTCCCCCAAAGGCACATGGATCACGCTGTAATCCTTTTTCTATTCTCTGTCCCATCAGGATCCTGGGCATGTGAATGTTTTGCAGCCACGGTGGATCGGCTTTCTCTACACCGCACTTAACCACTGAGCTACGCGACTGGCCCTCATTCTGCTTTATGAAAAAGGTTTCCTGTTACTCTGCAGTCAGTCATAACGTTAGCTGGAATTCAACTTCATAATATAGACTACTCTAATGGGATGAGTATATTGGGTTGTTGGAAAAGTCATGATGTGTGTTTCTATTTATCTCTCTCTCTCTTTTTAGAATTATTTTATTTAACCTCATTTATTTATTTATTTTTAATTTGGCCAGAGAGGGACAAAGTGAGAGAGAGAGAAGGAAAGTGAGAAAGTGAGCCACCAGGTCCAGAACTCAAACTGTAGTCGGCATGTGGAAGTCCAGCGCCCTTAACCACCACGCCACCTGCCGGCCCCTCTATGTATCTCTTTATAAGATCATGGTGTACCGACAGACTGTAATTAATATAGTGAATCACTCAGAACCCTCACTGTGAAAGATACTTCAGGGAGACTGTTTCAGATAATAAAATGGAAACTTCAGTAGCTCTCTGGTTTCATGGAACAAGTAAGAGGTTTTCCCCTGTTAATCAGTTTAACCATAACCCCTGATCCTCAGACAAACTTTTTAAATTGTATTTTCTACAAGCCATGATAATATACAGTGATTGTATAAAAGAATTTTTGCCAAGCATAGAAAATCATAAAAGAAGACGTTTTTATTGAAAGAGTCATAGTTTCATATTTTACCTTGGACTTTGCTTTATCGCTAGAAACTGGAAAAGGGCCTTTCTGATGTGCAGATGTGTGGCGTCAGGTAAAGACAGCTATATCCTGGCTCAAATACCAACAGATTATCTGGTGCGGCGCTTACCCAGCAGCTCCCGAAACCGTTTACTGCTGCACTTATTCTGTAAGCAATGGGTGGACGGCTGTAACCACGTTAATTTTAAGTATCTGCATTATACTTGAGATGTTCAAAAAATCCTTTAGGATAGTATAAGATACCCTAGGACGTAGAGCCTACCAGCTGAGAACAAGTTACCATATGGTACATTATCAAAAACTATATAATTAATACATCACTATCTAAAACATAAGCCCTATCATTTTTATTGGTGAAATTGCTATAATTAGTGTCTCTCTTCTATTTTCCAGAGTCTATTTCATCTTCCCTCCATCTGTTCTGCAATCTTAGGTACAGAAAGCCAAATTTAGAAAAAATTAACATTCTCATTTTGCATAGTACTTTGCTGTCGCTTTTCATTTTATTTTTAAAAGTTAAATAAAGTTGAACTTTACGATTGGCCGTTTGTTATGTAGAATCTACTGTTCCTTTTCATCTCAAGGAGACTTCGAAAGCATACAGTTACTTTAGGGATAACCATAGAACAGAAGGAAATAAAGACAAGGCGAACTACCTGCTGAGAGCCCCCTGGACACCTACCTTCACGGGCGGTGGCCCTCAGAGTGGCGCTGGGGCACCCGGGTGTCCGTGAGCACTGATGTGGCTGCACATTGCAGGGCCCTCGCCAAACCGTGTAACCACACAGGGCTCCGGTTTTCTGAGGTAACGTGATGTCTAGACGTTGACAGCTGTTTGAAGAATGTTATGGACGAGGCTCTTGCAGACCCCTGTCCTATATCCTTGGCCTGTGACTTTTCTCCTCGTGGTGGCAAAATGACACCTGTAACACCAGACAGCTCATTTGCTTTTCAGGAGCAGGGCAAAGAGCTTTCTCCTGCTGAGGCTTTGCCTTTGCAGTAAAGAAGGAACTCTCCCTACGGCAGGACTGTCGCACGGCCACACCTACCTGAAATCCATGGACTGGCACCTCACCTGGCCAACCTCTATACCTGCGAGTGTTTGTAGTGAGGCACGAGAGGGAATGCGTGCTGGGTGAGCGGCAGCAGTGTCGCGGTCTGTGTCACAGTTACTCAGGTTAATAATGAAGGCCTTGTGTGGTTCCGTCCTGGTGTCGTTACCACTGCTGGAGTGGAGGACAAGGAAGGCTTTATGACCATCTATGGAGTCAAACTCTGGGGGTAAGCTCCTAGGTTCTGCATTTTTAAAAACATTTTCTTCCGAGAGAGAGATACAGAGACAGAGAGAGATGATACCCTAACAGGATCCTCACGCCAAGATCCACCCCAGCCTCAGCTGGCCTGAGTCACAGGTACCCACGCTCAGCATGTACAAAAGGACATCCGGGACCTCCCCACCGCATTGCTGAGCCACCACACCCCTGGGCTCTGCATTTCGACACGTTCCTCAGTGACAATGCACACTGAAGCTTGAGGGCCACAGCGTGGGTGACAGGAAGGCATCAGAAAGCAGAGTCTGCTCTGCATTTTGCTTAGAGAGCACACTACCTTGGTGTCACCATGTGTTCGAAACAGCAGGATGACCATATGTCACCTGTCCTGCACCAGCCAGGATGCTTTGGGATGCGTGTGCCAGAACAGCCGACTCGCCAAGGCCCAGGCGCCGGGGAGACTCATCGCTGTAGCTCAGACCGTTTGCCTCGGCAGACTCAGTGAATACGGCCAACAGCAGGGCCTTTCTCTCACTCTGCTGCTCACCTTTCCAGCCTCGTTCACTGCAGTCCCCCGCGTCTGGGTCATGTTCGCTTGTTCATATCCAAGTGGGATTTCCTGGGCTATGTTGCCTCCAAGGGTAGAGACAAATGGATACATTTTTGTTTTTTAGAAACTTGTGTTAGGAAAATGAATCATTCTGACCAATGTGTCCAAATTACCTACAGTTAGAAAGTAATAGAGAGGGTTTATATAAAGTTTTATGTAAGAGGTGTTGAAGACCTTCCAAAGGGCCTCTCAGCAAACTGTAAACTCAGCCAGAAAAGAGAAACCTTTCCATGCCCTTGGGTGCCAGAAAAGCCCCCGGAAGCACAGCCCCTGAAGGCAGCAGAGAGC